TTTTTTTGCAGTTTTTTGGCCAGGGCTGGTTTTGAGCCTGCCACCTCTGGTAGGTATATGGGGCCGGCACCCTACTCCTTGAGCCACAGGCGCCACCCCCTCCCCCCTTTTTTTTTTACTTTGCTTTTCAGTTTTGGATCTTGTTTTCAGTCTACTAAAGAACCCAAAGACATTCATCCCTTCTGCTATCGTGCTTTTTATCTCCAATATTCATTTGTATTCCTTGTAATTTCAGTATCTCTGCTTACATCGCTCATCTCTTCCTTTATATTGTGTATTTTGTGCATCAGAACCCTTAGAATATTAATTATAGTTTAAAGAATAATTCCAAGATCACTGTCATATCTGAGTCTGGTTCTGATGCTTGCTTTGTCTCTGCACCTGGAGTTTATTGTCCTTTAGTATGCTTTGTAAATTTTTGCTTGATAACCAGACATGATGTTCTGAGTAAAATAAACTGATATAAACAGGCTTTTAGTGATGTGGTAGTAAGGTACAGAGGGAGAAGGGAAATGTTCTGTCCTCCTGTAATTAGGTCTCAGTCTTTTACTGAGGCTGTGCCTCTGGACGGCAATCTTCCCAACTTCTCAGTACTTTTTGCCTTTGATAGGTGCCATGGGATGGTTGGCACGTTCTGTAGTTGGATATTTCCTTTCTCCAGGTAGGCTATGCTCTGATAAAAGCAAGTTAGACTTTGGCTAAAAGTTGCTTCTGTGGGCAGACAGACCTTGTTAAAAATAGCATGGTCTCATGTATTTCAAATGGTTCCTTTCCTTTCTCTTGTTGGAAAAATGAAAGGATTTTTTTTCTCCAATATTTACCGTGAGAGCCTTATAGAGCTCAATGAGACAAAACTCACAAAGTAGGGCGGTGCCTGTGACTCAAAAGAGGAGGGCGCCAGCTCCATATACCCAAGGTGGTGGGTTCAAACCCGGCCCTTGCCACAAAAGGGCAAAAAAACCCCAAAACAAAACAAACAAACAAAAAACCTCACAAAAGTATAAGGGCTCTCTAATGACTAGGTCTCCTTGGTGTTTTGAACTCTCAGGCTTATCCACCATGGGCTTCCAGCAATTTGTCAATTATAAATTAGGTTCTGTCTTGGCAGTGTTTCCCCTGGAGGTCTATACTTGTGAGTTTCTGCTCTTAGGTGTTTTAAATTATTAGGGAAGTTTGAATTCATGACACTTTGATTGTCTATCAAGTAATTGATAGAAGTGGCTCCTTCTCTCAAGAATACTCCTATTCTCTCCTGGGTTGACGCCTAGCACAAATGAATGCTTATTTGATTTGCAATTTATTTTTATTTCTTCTTTTGTACCACTCTCGTTAGCCCTTACTTATTTTTGATTATTCATTGTCTCTCACCCTGAATATGAGTTTCAGAAGGGTCACTGTCCTCTTGTCTCAGACTGAAGAGCTGTTTCCCTTGAGCTCCCCAGAACCTGCAGCATGGAGTTAACACTGATTCAGATTAGCTCTGGGTCAATTGTGCTGCAAGGAGAGGGTTTTAACCCCTTGTAGACCTGTTTGTCTTCATGGAGTGAATCCGAGGAAGCTTATTCACAGGATTTCTTTTTCCCTGATGTTTCCAGCTCGCTTCCTGCCCTTTTCTCTGAGCAGGCCCTATTTTCTATCCTCAGCCTGCAAGCTTCTGTTTTCTGCCTGGCTGCGCTCACCGCCTTCCTACGGCACCTCAGGGAATTGCCCTCTTATTACCACAATTACAATCTGTACACATTTCATTAAACTAATATCGCTTTGCACAGGCTTTCTCCACAGAACTGCACAGCTGGAGGCCCATTTCTTTTCCTCAGCTTAAACACTTTGACAGGTTAAGAAAGCTATTATGGCTGAATAACAGGTGTTGCAAAACAATGTGCATTTGATGTTTAAATGAGAGAGCTTCTTTATTGACTGTCTTTATTGCAGGGAAGGCTCTCCTTTTTTCGCAATGACTGGGTTTTTATTGTTTTTACTGCTTTTTAAAGTGTATTCTGTTGTTTCAGAATAGGTCCAAAGCGACTGTGTGTGGTTATTTGTTACTCTGTCGTCCTTTCCTTTTTCATTATTATTATTATTTGTGCTTTTTGCTTTTGTTTCCAGGTGAAGAATGGCTGCAGAAATAGAAGAATTTTATGGGGTTTCTCTCTCTACTTCTAATAGAAACACACCCACTTTGCCAAAAACTCCCAGAGGGTCTCTCAGGGGATCCTTCTCCATTATTCTGTCCCTGTTTATGTTGTCTCCCTCCGTCCACTCATCTACCTTCCAGTGACCCAGTGAATTCACTCCCACATGAGACACAGTAATATACAGATGGAGAGATGTTTTCCTGTTAGAGCTTCCTTATCTGAATAGCACTATTGCGTTCTTTAAAATCTCACTGCATAGAACATGTATAAACTGATGCACAATTTTTGGTATTTATCCTCTATCTCTTGGCATTTTGTTTATTTCTCC